TGCTGCTTTGGAGATGCTTGTGCTTAAAGCCTTACAGTTTTCTAGCTAAAGGTTCCTGCATAAAAATATTTTTCAAAACACTGTTTAAAGTGATGAGTGTTCTCCCCTGGTCCTGTTTCTACCTTTTGGAGAACTTTATTCCAACTGTGGTATAGACTAGCCATAATTGTGCATGGCATTTCTGTGGTTTTGATTTTAAGAATTCAAAATTTAAAATTTATGAAGCATTATGCCTTCATATGCTAAATTAGAAAGCTTAGTTTGCATTGTGACCTTTTTTAAAATGGTTCTTTTTCCAACTAAATTTTTTATGTTAATCAAGTATAGCTACAGTCAGCTTCTTCAGTAGTATTTAGTCCGTTAGTCAACTAAATTGTGAATGATTTGTGTGCGCTCTACTGTTTGCTCCTGCACAGTAATGCTCGTTTCTCCAAGTTTGTATTTTCTTCTCCTTTTTTTTTTTAACTTGCATTAGAATCTACATTTTTCCAGTGTCTTTGAAAACTTATGTTGCTTATAGATGCTTGTTTCAGGTGTACATTTAGAGCTGCCACTTAAACTCTTTCAGCTTCCCGCAAATAAAATGCACTGTATACTTGGGAAGTCTGTGCCTCCATCACGTTATTTTCTCCCACTGTAAAGCGTGCATGGTTCTTGCTCAGTTTTGTGAAGTGCTTTGAAATGTGAAGTGCTTTTCATTTGGTAAGTGTAGACATTGTATACATGAGATAGCTTAACTTGTCATTTCAGACTTCAGCAAAAATGTGCATGATACTGAGCAGAAAAGGAGTTTATTTGACAGCATCATCATGTACACGTATACTTGCATGCCTCTTTCCTTCAGTATTTACCTTCCAGCAATGCCCTTTTTCCTTGACTTTTCACATCAATCTTCTTGTCTTTACCTTTGCTTTACTTTTCCACCCTCTTTCTCATCCATACCTGTTTACTAATTGTGCCCCCTCCCGCTCCCCAATAATCCAGGCCCTTTGATGCTGCCGACCGCTGTCAACGTGGTGGAACCCTGTGGGACACGTGGGCCCCGCCGAGGACCCGCGCTGCGGACGGACAGTACACTGCTTTTG